ACCTCTAAGTGATCCCCGGCTCTCAAGACGTACAAGTGTGCCAGCCAGCGCCGCGGCTCACTAGGCTAATCTCATAACATGAGAGGGTGCCAGCACCTCTGCGAGAGGGTGTCTAGTCCTGGTTGGGGCGCCGGTTCTGTCCCAGTTGCTCCTCTTCCATTCCAGCTCTCTGCTGTGGCCTGGGAGTGCAGTGGAGGATGGCCCAGGTCCTTGGATCTGCACCCCATGGGAGACCAGGAGTAAACACCTGGCTCCTGGCTTCCGATGGGCGCAGCGTGCCGGCCACAAGGCGCCGGCCGTAGCGGCCACTTGGGGGTGAACCAACAGAAAAAGGAAGACCTTTCTCTGTCTCTCTCTCTTTCTCTCACTGTCTAACTCTGCCTGTCAAAAAAAAAAAAAAAAAAAAAAGACCCCATTGCTGGTGATGTGGTGCAGTGAGTTAAGGTGCTGTCTGCGACGCTGGCATCCCATATCAAAGCAGTGCTTTGAGTCACAGCTGTTCCACTTCTGATCCAGCTCCCTGCTAATGCACCTAGGAAAGCAGCAGATGTACTGAAACCAAAGTGGGAGACCTGGATGGAATTCCAGGCTGATTCCTGATTTTGGCCTGGCTCAGCCCCAGCATTTGTAGCCACGTGGGGAGTGACCCAGTGGATAGAACACCCCTTTCTGTTCTCCCTGTCATTCTGCCTTTCTAACAGATAAGATAAATCTTTTTTAAAAAATGGTACCATACTATATTCTGTAGAAAAACTGAAAGACTTCCCAACATTGCGTTAAACAGCTGTATCAAAACATCCATTTCAGGGCCAGCACTGTGACACTGTGGGTTAAGGTTCTGGCCTGCAGCACTGCCATCCCATATGGGCACTGGTTTGAGTCCCAGCTGCTCCACTTCTGATCCAGTTCCCTGCTAATGTGCCTGAGAAAACAGTGAAGGATGGCCCAAGTCCTTGGGCCCCTGCACCCACATGGGAGACCTGGAAGAAGCTCCTGGCTCCTGGTTTTAGATTGGCTCAGTTGCGGCCATTTGGGGAGTGAACCAACAGAGGCCTCTCTGTCTCTACCTCTCTCTGTCTTTTAAAAAATGAGCTTATTTAAAAAACTCCATTTCCCTGTAGTCCAACTTTTCAATTATTCTGAATATTATAGATTATATGTAAATCACACTGTAAGGAACATCTCTTTCCCAATCCATGATTTAAAAATGATCATGAGACACTCCTACACAGAGGGACCTATCTCCACATGACCTGTTAGGTACCCCTTACTCCTCTTTAGTCTCAACTTGCCATCACCAAAGAGGTTTCTTTGGGCTAATTGACCAATCACCAACAGAAGGTTTCAGTAAAAATACACCAGCTGCCTCCAAGGGCTGCTTTTGGGTTGGTTATTAAATTTCACCACAGTGACAATTCCACTGCAATTAGGACTCTAAAAGTGTCCCTCCCAGTGTTGCATGATGCTGTCCCTGCTGCCTGGATATCCTCCCTCTTCCCCTACACCCACACTTCCAAGCCCGACTCATCCTGCAGAGCCCGGTCCGAACATCCTCCCCTCATCCACAGGGCTCCTCCTGACCCTTGACTCAGTCCAGCCCTGCCCGCCACTGTCCATCTCACCCAGTTTCTTCTGGACAGGTCTCCGCTCCCTTGCTGGACTCCCAGTCTACTTGATCTTACTTATTCCTAGCCCAGGATCTTGTGAAATAAATGCCTGTGACAGTAGTCTGCAAAACGATGTATGAGCCTACTTCAAACAGTTCCTGGGAAATGGAATTAGAAGATTATTTTGGTGCAAAAGATTCTCAACATCTGTGCATACGAGAGATCTTCAGAAAGTTCATAAAAATATGTATTACAAGAAAAAAACACTGGATTTCTAACTTTTTTGCACCAAAACAAATAACTTGTAATGCCACTTCCATGAACTTTTGAAGGACCTTTCCATGATGCCATTTCTTTGAAAAACACAATGTCGGGGCTGGCGCTGTGGTGCAGCGGGTTAAAGCCCTGGCCTGCAGCCCTGGCATCCCATAGAGGCACCTGTTCTAGTCCCGGCTGCTCCTGTTCCAGTCCAGCTCTCTGCTATGGCCTGGGAAAGCAGTGGAAGATGCCCCAAGTCCTTGGACCCGCATGGGAGACCCGGAAGAAGCCCCTGGCTCCTGGTTTCGGGTCGGCCCAGTTCTGGTCATTGCAGCCATTTGGGAAGTGAACCAGTGGAAGGAAGATCTTTCTGTCTCTCCCTCTCATTGTCTGTAACTCTACCTCTCAAATAAATAAAATAAAATAAAAAAACACAAAAAAAATCTTGTAAATAAAACGTTCCCATTCACTGTGCAATAACTTAATGGAAGCAGAAGTTACAAGGTTAAGGAGAAAAACGTGTATGCTCTAAGGTGCTGTGCAGACATCAGACTTCAAAGCAAAAGCGGCGTTTAAGCCTGTTCTCTAAGACGATCCCTCCAAAACAGAGTAACACTTAAGCTTTTGGATCAGGGCTCATGGGAAACTAGTACTCAAGGGTACTTCAAAAAGTTCATAGAAAATGGCATTAAAAGACAAGCTCATCTTGGTGCAAAAAACGTTTGCAATGTATGCATACTTTCTCATAATCCCTATTTCCTATGAGCTTTCTGAAGACCCCTCCATAAGAACTGTCTAAAATTGACTTGGCCATGCTCGCTCATACGCATGTCCAGGCACCACCCTGTCTCCTACTAATACATGGGAATAATTACACTTTCCTCCCCTAATGCCATTAAAAACGACAGATGGTGACACCACGTGAATTACTCGTGCTGCTCTCCTTTCATGGTGGTGGACTGAAGCGAGATGGCGAAAAAGAAGAAATGTTTCTTGGTGTATGCCAACAGTCCGGGGTTCCTGGGGCTTGGAGAACTATGGGGCCGGGAGGGTAGGCGTCAGGGTCAAGTGAAACGTCTTAGACACGCTGCTCTGGCTCGACTTTGCCCCCAAGTTACACTCTGCGGGCACAAGTTCTGAAAGAACCCAACTTTGAAAGCCACGCTTCGGAGGCAGGAATTCCGTGCGTGTGAAACCTTCGGAAGCTCAGTTCTGCCTCCGTCTCTTTGTAAGGAACCTACACCCAAAACCTCACTCGCGTCTACCTCGGGAACGGCAGCAAAGCACACGAACAGATTCCAAAGGAGACGGCACAGGAGGAAATACACCTTCGTGTTCACAAATGTCCGGATTTCAGGCCCAGGCAAACACACCATCCCGACCCGCACCGACCCAGCGGGGCGGGCTCCCACCGCGGCGGAGACACGCGCCGCACCTGCGCCGCGGCTGGGAAACCCGCGCTCCTTCTTCCGAAGTCCCCGCCTCGACGCGCCTCGGGGGCGGTGAGGCCCAAACGGGTAAGGCCGCCGGAAAGCCGGGCCGACCGCGGCGCGCTGGGCGCAGGTGAGCAGGCTCCCGGCGCTCCCCGCACACCAGGTGCCAGGTTCCGCAGCGCCAGGGACGCGCGAGCTTCCGGCGAGAACCTCTCCTGGTCCCCAAAAACCCTGGCCAGGACGTCTGGCTCGTCCTTCCGACTCTGCAATCGTGGCAAAGCATCGCGTTGGCGCAGCCACCAGCAGACCCCAGTGTGGGCTGGGAGACCAGCGGTGTAGACCCGGCAGAGCGTCTACACTCCGCCAGCGCAGCAGCTTCCGAGCAGTTTAGCCCCGGCTCAGGTGAGTCACTTCCCGGAATCCTTCGGCGGCTCCTCTTTGTGTCTCCAGCACAGGCCACCCCCACCCCTCCCGGATCCCGGCTGCCGCGGCGGGAGATCCCCCTTCCCTCCTGCCCGTCCCCTGCAGACCCGGCCCGCGCGCCCCCGACCGCGGTGTCCTTGGCAAAGTTTCTTCTCAGCCTCTCTGAGGCTCAACTGACTCACTGGGGAAACTGAGGGCAGACGCCCGGGGATGCTCGGGTAGGGGGACCGGCGAGCAGCTGCCGGGCCCCTGCAGTCCCGGGAGCCCCGCCGGCAGGCGAGGTCCCCGGCCGCGCCGCTCTCCGGGCCTGGGAGGAGCCAGATGCAGCGGAGGGCGGGTCCCGAAGCCGGGCGCCCGGCCCGAGGGGGCAGTGCCGGGGTGGACGGCAGCAGGTGACCCTCCCCATCTGGCCGGCCCTAACCCGAGGACCATGGCCTGGCACAGAGCCGCGCGGACGGCGCCGGCGGCGGTCGCGGGCAGCAACAGGAGGCCACTCACCACCACATGCGCCCCGGGCAGGGCGAGCGGCTTGGGGCTGATGAGCGGAGACACCATGTAGAGCAGCAGCACGAAGGCCACGAGGAAGGCGGCCGCCAGCAGCAGCATCGCTCGGCCGCGGCCGCGGGCCCCGGAGGCGGGCCGGGCGCGGGGTGGACGCCGGCGGCGGCGGGGCGATCACGCGCGGCGGCCGGCGCGCAGCGGGAGCCGGGAGTGTTTGGGTTTGCAGGCGAAGGCGGGGCGGCGGCGGAGGGGAAGAGGAGGAGCCGGAGCGGGGCGCAGCCTGGGCGGCGCTTCGGGGAGCGGCGAGGCGGCGCCGCCGCCATCCCACTCGCTCCGGAGGGCCGGAGCATCGCCGGCTGCTCGCGGCGTCGGGACGCGGCCCTCCGCCTCCGCCACGGAAGTGGGGCGACCCCGACCGCCCGTGAGCTCCGGCAGGCGCCGCCTGGGAGCGCTTGGCGGCCGCGAGCTGCCTCGCCCCCGGCCGGCCGAGGGTGCTGCGCTGCGCTGCGCCGGGCAGGGCGCGCTTCAGACTCTGCGGGGTCCAACCCCGGGCCGCGGGGCCGCAGGGAGCGTCCCGGGCTGTGGGTCCCCAGGCCCTGTTCCCGTCCCGAGTCCCGGGCTCCATCTCGTGTTTTCTTGGCGCCGTGACATCACGGTCGCAGAGGCACTGGGGAAAATCCGTAACATGGAGTTCGGAAACATCAGATTATTCCATTTCGTTGGGCTCAGAATGCAGCAGGTTCGAAAGAAAACCCCAGCTCTGTGGGGATCCGAATCGCACGCCGTGACAGTCAATCTGCCGATTTCTAGTGCCTAAGACGTGAAGGCGTTTAGTAATAAAATCGCGCAACCATTGCCACAGTCGGCTTCAGAACGTTTCTGTCGCACCCCCAAGAAATCCTGAAGTCCTGACAGTCCGTCCCTCCCCTGCAGATCTGCCTGCTCCAGACATTTCGTATCGATGGGGTCATACTAATATCTAGCCTTTGTATCTGGCTCCTATCACTCAGCACACTGGTTTCAAGGCTCATCTGTACTGTTCGATTATCAGTATTCCATTCCTTTTTTTTTTTCCAAATCCATAGTCCACTGCATGCATGTGCCACGTTTTGCTTGGCCTTGCATCAAGTGATGGACATCTGGGTTGTGTCCGCTTTTTGGCTCTTATGAATGGTGCTTGTAGACGTTTTCACGGGGATACGGGTTGAAACCTCTCTTGGGTGTACACCCAGAAGTGGGGTTGCCAGGTTTTAGGACAACTCTGTTTAACCATTGGTGAACTTGCCAGAATGTTTCTCAAGGTGGCTGCACCCTACTTTTCACACTCCCACCAACGCCTGTGAGCTCCAGGGGCTCCAGATCCTCATCCTCATCATTACCATCTATTGTTTCGATGAAAGCTTTGCAGTAAGATGCGTGTTCTCTTCTGTTTGCTTACTTTCTGTTGTTGTTTCTATTCTTTAGAAATATTAGAGAGCTAAAGAGCAAAAGGAGTTGGCTTTTTCCCATCTATCTTGGCTTATTGCCCAAAGTTGCCCAAGCTGAGAGTCCAGTGCTTCTGACACCAACTGCAAGCTTGAGGGGTTCCCAAGCCACCTTCAGTTTGGTATTTTGCAGGGACTCCTAGAGCGCACTGAAAGCTGCCAGACTCATCCTTAGGGCTTATTACAGGGAAAGGAAACAGATCAAAGCCAGCCAGCGCACCTCACACTCCCTAGGAGGGCTACTATAAAACAAAACACAACAAAATGGACAAGTGTTGACACGGATGTAAAGAAATTAGAACCCTCATGCATTGCTGATGGAGCTGGAAAATGGTGTAGCCAGCTGTGGAAAACAATTTGGTGGTGCCTCCCAGAGTTGAACAGAATTACCATATGATCCAGCAGAAACAGATACCTGCATACCATGTTAATAGCAGTTTTATTCACAATGGCCAAAAAAATGCAGAAATAGTTCATGTGTCCATCGATAGATGAAAGCAAAAATAAAATGTGGTATATTTATATAATGAAAGATTCAGCCTTAAAAAGGAATGAAATTCTGATACATGTGGCAACCCAGAGTAACAGGACATTATTTTTCAAAAGGCACAGTTTCTGTTTGGGAATATTCTGGAAATGGACAGTGGTGATGGTTGAACAACATTGTGAATGCACTTAATGATACAGAATTGAACACTTAAAGATTATTAGAATGGCAAATTTTATATTATATACGTCTTACCGATGTAAACAAGTTTTTCATAAAATTTAGAAAATAAATTACCAACAATAGAAATTACTCCTAATTCAGTTACTCGGAGAGAGGAACTCTTGGCTCCAGGCTTTCCTCATGACGTTTTCTTGAGATGACCTCATAGTGGCATGGCAGGGTTTATCAAGATACTCTTTTTATAGATTTAGTTTATTTATTTGAAAGGTAGAGTTAGATAGAGAATCTTGTATCCTCTGGTTCACTCCCCAAATGGCCCCAACAGCTGCAGCTGAGCCAGGGCAAAGCCAGGAGCCAGGAGCTTCTTCTGGATCTTCCACGTGGGTGCAGAGGCCCCAGTCCTTGGGCCATCCTCTGCTGCTTTCCCAGGTGCATTAGCAAGGAGTAGATCAGAAGTGGAGCGGCTGGGACTCAAACCAGTGCCCAAATGGGATGCCAGCCCTGCAGGCCAAGGTTTTTATCTGCCATGCTATGACACCTGCCCCGGGTACTCATTCTCTCTATTTATCTTCCCTTCCCCTATTGTGTGAAGGTAGCCAGGGCTTTGAATGCTGCCTTGCCTCCTGTAAACAGGCAAAAGCGCAATTGCTTATAGAATTCTTGCCTCTCCCGGCTCTCCCACCAACAGATCCTCATCTGAAATGTCCCTGGAGATGTTATGTTAAGTCCATTTGAGAGCAACAGGAGAAGCCAGACTTCTGAAGGCAGGAATAGAGACACACTGACATCTCAAATAGATACTGGTGATCTGAAGGTTGGCACCATCTCACCCCACCCTCCTGTGGCAGCTGCTGAGCTGAGGACAAACCCCAGGAAGGGTGCCAGGACCTTGAGCTGGTGTAGAGAAGGAGAGTTGAGGTACTTCTATGGCTTGGGACAATAAAAACATCTGTGACAGACTTACTGGGCTGGGGGTTTATCTCCTGTACTTTGGGAGCCTCTTGGACTTTGGTACGATCCTTGGAGGAGGTAGAGGCCTAATCAAGATTAACAGCTAATTTCCTGATAGTATAGCAGACCTGGATTTAATAATGTAAAGACAACTTTTTTGTACTTGAGTTTCTAAACTAAAATTCAGGGTTACCATTGGGGAGCGCCCATGTTTTGAACATTGCTACAAGCTAAAGTTTCATCTAATATTCATAGAAAAGCTGCCAAAGGTTTCTCTCTACTTTGTGGCTAAACCGATAGCAGAAGGAATCTGGGAGAACTAAACTTGTGTCTCTTAGAGGAAAGGCGTGTGTATGAGTACTTTTATTAAGATTCTAGACAAACCAACTACTTAAACTACTTTACTACTTAAACCAACAGAGTATGGTCAAAGTGACACAGTGTGAATTCTGAGGCTACAAAGGCGATACAGCTTCCACTTTGTTCCCGAAATACTTGTTCCTCAGGTCTTCAGTCATCAGTCATCTTGTCAGCAGTCAGAGTGTCCTGAGGTCGCCGTGCAGCATGGAAGGCCCTACTAGCCCATGCGAGGACCACTTAGAGAGGCCCCTGCCCTTTCACAGAGATGTGCAGGCAGCCCCCGGGTGCTTCAGCCTGTGTTGTTCCAGCCCCAGGCAGTGTGTGACTGCAACTGTGCAAGGAACTGCAGGTCACAACACCCAACGAGGCCCTTCCTGAATTCCTGACCCACAGAAACTGAGATGACTGTTATTATTTTAAGCCACAGCGTTTTAGGATGACTTGTAATGCAGCAATATAAACTCGAAAAAATTTGTCTGAATTATCTCCACTGGCCACCTACTGTACTTTACCTTGAGACTGTAGGTAGATAGGACTGTTTCCTGCTCTTTTTACCTACCAAAGCCTTGGTTCAGGGACTAGACTTTGGATCTCCTCCAGGAACACACTGTGGCTTAGTGGATGACTCTCACATGATAACATCTACTCCAGCATTTCCGTTTCCTAGAGATGTTGGGCACTTTGTTACACATACATCATTGGAGTGCAGAGTGCAGAGTGCCTGCTGTTGAATTCAGTTTCTTCAACTACTCAAGCAGACAGTTAAAACAACTCTTAGCATGGAAACCAAAATCCTGACTCAGGGATTTATGTTAATTGAGCCCACAATGATAAAGTTGGTATCTGAAACTTGCAACTCCTTTCCTTGGCTCATCACCAACAATCCACTCCCACACTTCCAGATATTTGCTGATGTTCAGAATCCTCCAAATTCCCACAAATATACACATTCCAAGATTATGGATCTTGTTCTTTTTCTACTAATTTTCTCATTACACATAAATAATTCAGTGAATTTGTAAATTCAACTGATAGAATTTGGCAATTTGCAGAATTAGAATTTGGCTTTCACTGCTTTAACAGTAGCTGCAAAAACTTTTTTTTTTAAATTTTTTTGGACAGGTAGAGTTATAGATAGTGAGAGCAAGAGACAGAGAGAAAGGTCTTCCTTCCATTGGTTCATTCCCCAAGTGGCCACTACAGCCGGCGCTGCATCGATCCGAAGCCAGGAGCCAGGTGCTTCCTCCTGGTCTCCTATGCGGGTGCAGGGGCCCAAGCACCTGGGCCATCCCCCACTGTCCTCCCAGGCCACAGCAGAGAACTGGACTGAAAGAGGAGCAACCAGGACTAGAACCCGGTGCCCATATGGGATGCTGATCACCGCAGGCAGAGGATTAACCAAGTGAGCCACGGCGCCAGCCTGCAAAAACATTTCTTTGAGTACACAGAAGAGTCCTAGCTTTCCGTCAATGCCTTGGCCCCAGCCATCCTTCAAGTTCTCGTGCCCTGTACTGTGTTCTACAGCAGCTGCAAAGAAGCTCACAAATGCCTTTTCACTGGGCTCATCATTCCACATGCCATTAAGTGGTGATGTACTGAGCTGTCTCATCATGAGATTCCCAGGAGATGCTACTGATGCTAAGAAAGTATTTGTCCTGTCATCTTTGTGTTACACGCCCAAGGAGGAAGCACCTGCATTGCAGCACCTGATTAGGCCACTGCTGCTGTCAGGGGCCAAGTGAGAAA